TATCACGTGATCAGCCTTCTCTTCCTCGCCACCGCAATCGGGCTTCTCTTGCCTTTTTCACAGGGGCGTCATTTGAGAGGGAGACTGGGGGGGGGGGTAATTGCCCCTCCAAGGCACTCTATAACCCCCTTAAGGTCTAGTTCCCCCCCCCCCCCACCTTTAAGATCTAATCGTAGATTAAATATGCTCCTAGAGTTAAATATGCTTCTGAGTGTCCCCAGATGCCCCCAAAAAGCTGAGATGATGCCCCTGCTGCCCCATAATTGACACAACTGCCCAGCCTAATGTATTCACTCCTTTCTCTCAGTGACACGCTCGTCAGTTTTGTAGTAGTGTTCTCATCTCTATCCTTTTCAGCTGTCTGCATTCCATATTTCTTAGTACTCTCCATGTTGCCCATTCTGCTCTAATCCTCTTCTAACATCCAGCTCCGTACCTCCGCTGCCATCAACCCAAAATATTTGCTCATCCAACCTTTTCATTTGTTTATGTCGAGCCATTATTTAAATTCCATTCCTCCCTTCTCACTGCCAGCCATCTCTCATTTCCTCGCATTTGCTCTTATCCTTCCCCCCGCCGCCTCCATTTCCAAGCACTCTTGCCACTATAACATTCTTTGCTGCAGGACATCCAAATCATCAGCATGTAGGAGCTTCCAGATATATCTTCTGTGGTACCATTTATTGTGGTTCACCACTGTTTTTCATTGTACATATCTTTCACTACATCGATAAGTCTCTCAGATACCAGGACGCTACTTCCCTTGATACCTTACCAGGTCAATAAATCCATAATACACCTTATTCATTGCCTTCCAGATAATTCTCACAATTTTCTCCCAGATAGCTTTTCCCTTTCATGAAACCAAACCTGGTGCTTCTTATCTACACAATGTGTCTTGATCTCTCATCATTATTTATCTAATCGCCTTCTATAGGGATTCCCTGTATATCCGGTTCCTTCAATCATCTAGGATTTGTCCATCTTTCATTTTTTTCCGGTACAGGTTTCTACAGCCATTCCTTACAACGATCTTTCTTCTCTCTCCGTCTATGCGCTTGAACTCCAAGTATCCCTCTTTTTTCTGTATTATTTTGTCTTGCTCTTTCAATCTTACTAATCTTCTTTTCACACTACACCCATAAGCGTGTTCCTCATTCTATTCACAGCTCATTCACCTATCCTTTTCTTTCAAGCTTGTTCTTCGGTGTACATTATCTTTAAACTCTTACATCTTCTCTCCCCTCAAGACCCATAGTTTTAGTGTCCTGTTTCTGTCCCGCTTCTTTTCACTTCCTGTCCCTCATTTACAGTGTGTCATGTCACACACACACACACACACACACACACACACACACACACACACACACACAACACACACACACACACACACACACACACACACACACACACACACACACACACACACACACACACACACACACACACACACACACACACACACACACACACACACACACACACACACACACACACACACACACACACACACACACACACCATACACACACACACACACACACACACACACACACACACACATACATATATATATTATATATATATATATATATATATATATAATATATATTATATTTATTATTTATTTATTTATACACACACACACACACACACACACACACACACACACACACACACACACACACCACACACACACCACACACATATATATATATATATATATATATATATATATATATATATATATATATATTAATTGATTTATTTGTATACAGACATACAAAAGCATATAAAGTATAAATTTCAAGACTGGTCAAATCTCAATTCCCATTGCCTCATGACTGTTTTTTTTTGCAGGGAAATGTCCATTGAACACGATCAATTGAGATATTTGTAGAACATGTGAGACGAAAGTATGACGCAACTTTCTTGCATATATCTTAATCTCTGCAGGAAGCAACGACTAGATAATCAGGGATGTGCATTTCCTCAATCCTCCCTCTGCCGTAAGCGGCCATTTAAAAAAGAAAATTACACATCCCTCTCTATTAGCACATAAATGAATAGCGAATAAGGGAGCAATTGATGAATAAATAGACAAAAAAAGGCAATAGAGAAAGCAATAACATTTTAAAAAGACTTTATCATACAGTGAATGTTGGAGCATTAAGTCATTTGGATACAATATATTTCTAAAGGAATGCATATATCAACCAGTGAATTATTACCTTTCTAATTGATTTCTTTGAGAGAAGCTGCAAACAATTTCACACAAAACTGACTTCTATAAGCCTATTCATTTACATCCCTACTAGATTACAGAATGGATTCGGAACAGTTTCGCGCTGCTGCTCGTGAGATGACAGACTACGTCATTAACTATTTGGAAAATATCAGAGACAGGTAAGTTCTGGATCAGTCGAGCAAAGGTTTCAGTGGCTGGGAGTGCTATCAGAACTGACCGAAGTGGCACCATAGAGATGTTCGATATATCACA